ACCTTGAAAAAGAAATAAGAAAGCCTAAGTTGACTAAACTAGACGGTTCTTTTTTTTCTATTAATGGGAAAGCTATTTTATAGGAAAGCAAAATCCATAAATATCCACAAGCTGAAATAACTTTTCCTGTCATTCATGGTTTCAAATTTTGATTGATCAAAGAACATTTTTAAAAAGTACGAAAATTTTAAAGATTATTTTTAAAATTTTTAAGAACATGTCAAATTTCCTGGATAAAGCTTGGTAAACTGCAGAACCTACTATCAACGGTTGTCATCTGAAAATATATAAAGACTCCTCAGACAATCGGGGATCTGTATTATTTATCTATCTATATATATATATATGTTTTTAAATTTTTTCAGCCAAACTTTGCTAAAAACCTTTATTTTCAGCTCAATTATACTTTCATTATTTATAATTATGCAGCCATTTCAAATATCCTCTTTTTGCAAGATATCACAATTTGCACAACACTTTAATAAATCAAGAGGTAGAACAACCGATTTTTGTTTATACTGTCATTTTGAGCATCATGATATTGCTAATTTAGGTAAACTTGTCATTAAAGAATGCGATCTCTTCCTACCAACAGGTAGTGTATCGTAACCAGAAGTGAATATAAGTGAATATAATAAATAATAAGAATCGCTTTCTTATCACTTATAATTCACTAACGATAAGATGTTAATGAAAATTCTAAACGTTTACAAATGATTTTGAGCTTCTAACACTATCGAAAACCATTTTAAAACCAAACTTAAAAAATTTAAGAAAATATCAAGCTTTAAAATTTTGTGGTGTATGTGCTTAAAAAGATTTCAAGCGAATTTCTTAGAGAACAAAAAACTGAATCGTTTAAAATAATAAAAGAGTACATAAAAGTTGTTATTGTGGTCCTCAAAATTAAGTTCTAATTTTTCTAGAGGATAGTCAACATTTCGGTTATTTCAAGAATAAAATGGTATAAGAAAGGGATCAACAAAATATATTGCAGAAAAGTGTAAAAGAAATGATAACGAGTTTCCTACTTTGACTGCCTCGAATGAGTTCTTTTAAACGGTGATAGTTTTGCATAATGTGTTTAAATATAAAAGTTGTATGGTTGTCGATAGAAAAATGATGATAATTATCGAACTGACTAATTTTTCCATTGAAAAATAGAAACTTCGTAGAGTGCATCGAAACGTCGGAACAGGATCGATTAATAATGATAGATAGATGAATAGATTGATAGTCCAAGGCGTCTGATTTTAAATGATTAGGACTAGTGTTAGCACTTACAAAAAAATTCACTTTTTTGTCCTTGGATGTTGGCGAGTCTTTCTGAATTTTTAAGGCGTGAAACTAATGCAGTACAATTTCTTGGATTTCATTTCGCTGCAACGAGTGTCGCGTCTCTATTTGCGTTCACTGATTTATCCTACACTAACTATTGTTGATCGCAATCACACTATTTATTGAAAAACCGCGTTTTTTTAAGAAGATTCTAGCAATAGCCCAAAAGAAATTTGGCCATTATTAAATCTATGTGAATAACACGAGGAAATAAGCGAAGAAAATGTGTGAATGACACATGTTCACATTCACATTTGGAAATGGGTAATGTTTGCCGCATTTATGAAATGATACTTGCCGAAAGGAGGATTAGAAATGAATAAGATAAAACAACCATAATTTCATGTAGATTAAAAATTAAAATAAATAATTAATCATGATAATTAATTTTTAACCCCTGTATTTCAATGTTTCATCTAAGTTATGAATTCTATATTGAAAGAAAATTGAAGTAATTTGTTGTTTGGAATTTTAAATTGCTTTCATGCAAATCTTATTTTTGATAAAATTATGATAAGAAGAGATATCGTATCATTTTCTAAAAATTTTTTATTAAAGCATGATTTGAATTAAATCTTGGCTAAAAATATCTCATAAGCAAAAAATTAAGCAATGAATTGGTAAAAAACAATTGATTAGATTTTTATTGCAAATTCATTTACCAAACGGTCACATTTGCTGAAAATTGAACTATTGAACCATAAAGATTAATAACCAGACTTGGTTATTGACCATTTCTATTAAAGATTTATATTAGTGATTTGTTAAAAGTCAAGAAACTGAAAGTAGTAGTTAATTAAACAAATTATTTACTTTAAAAAATCTAGAAATCCTGATAAGTCAGACAAAAAACTTTATCCTTGTTGCTTTTGCTTTTTTTATGCTAATAATTTTTATTTCATTTTGATGATTTATTAGCTTTTTTGATTTATTATTAGTACTTAATTTAATTTATTTCTAGCCTCATTTTAGATTCTAAAATATCGAAGATCACCTTCGAATTTAGAAGGGCATAAGACCGCTAATATTTTTATACTTGATCTTGCGATTTTTAAACTGATTGCTATTCAATTAAAATAATTAACTGAAAATAAGCCTGCAGAAAAAAGCAGTCAATTACTGAGCAATAGCCTAACTTTTTTATTCGAATAAAAAGCCTCAGTTGCAAAAAAAAGAAACCTTGTTCGTCTAAATTAGCAAACAGTATAATTAGCAATCGAGGTAGTTGTGCTAAATCCTGAATGAAATGAAGACAGAGAGATGAGGTTTTGTAAAAGATTAGTATATAAAAACTTTCGAAAAAATTATTGACCTAAAAAAAATGATGAGAACTGCAACAAAATAAAGATTTATCACCTCACAAAAAGCAACCAAAAACTTATCAAGATCTTCAACTAAAAAGATCCCAAAGAGCGACAACGATGATTTATTAGTCTGTGTTAAAATGGTGTTGAAAAATTGTTCACCGTTGACAGATGATCGTAATTCATGGTGAAAAAATTTAGAGAAATATTTACTGGTAGAAGTTTAAAAAAACCTTCTGAAAAAAATATAAAATAATTTTCATCAAAAATTCAAAAATTTTTAAAAGCCAGAATTACTGAAAATCTTGCTTAGTATACTAATATACAATAGATCTTCATAAAACGTTTCTTACAAATCCAAAATTATAATAGCAATTTCATTATTGTGAAGGTTAAATTAAACAAGAAACTCCAGTAAAATAAGCCTTAGCCATTATTACGTTAGAAACTATGACAATGACAACAAAAATTAGGACGTAAAACGTCAAACTACTAAAGTCAACAATTCGGACGAGCTATTATTGAAGAGAGATGGTGCTTCAGCTGAAAAGAAAGCGAATAATGAATCCGCTAACTTTTTGCTCATTTTAAATTGGTTTCCGATGGAATGCATGACGGTATGGGCAAATATCAGCGATAATTTCTAAGTTTAGATCTGAATATAATTATATGAATATATGATATAAATGAAAGGAGATTCCACGCCCGATTAAGCTCCAACTCCAATATACAAAAAAGCGTTTTTTGTCAGATTAATCTAACTATGATGTCAAAAAAAATGTGCGTTAAACAAGAATTTAAGAAGAATTCCATTGGTATAAAACGAATGGAATGCTATGGAATGTTTCAGCTTTTTCATTTGTATTTGCATTTGTTTTATCTGGAATTTTGTAAGCCGTTTTAAGAAAAGCAACAGTAGTATACTGCAACTGAAAGTCATCGAATATATCGAGAAGTTTAAAAAATTAGAAGTGAAGCGAGGATTTATTCGCCACTGATTTGCTTGTGAACATTTTAATGAGCTATAAGACATAACGGCGACAATAATGTACAAATTTGTATACGAGATTTAGCACAATGAATGAAGTACGGATAGTTATCTTGATGTAATAGTACGATGACGATGCATTCGCATCAATCATGAAATCTTTTAAAAACTTTTTATCACCGAATTTGAAGTTATCAGTTTTCAAGATCGTTACTCTAGATACACGTTTTTTTGTCATTATGCGAAATAAATGCTATTTTATGAAATTTTTTCATGCGTTAACGCATTTTTGTGCAAACTATAAGCTCGGTCTATTTTTTTCTCAATATGGAATGAATTCGTTTCTATTTATTCATTGAAACGGAATAAAAATTCACTTCATCCATAAAACTTAAAATTTCAACTTAATGCACCTCAGCTTTATGTTAGTTCTAAGATTTATGCTATAGAGACAGTACCATTTAATGGATCATATTAAATATATTTCCTTTAAGAAAATGAGTTCACTTTTGCATTATTCATTATCTGATTAACACTGTTCCAAATAACGAATTATGCATAATCCGCACCGAACTAATAGATAAGTGAACTACTTATGATTATTTATTATTTAAAACATTTTCAGCAAATCATGGTTAAGCATAAATTTTCAGAAAAGTTAACCAAATAGCCTTCAACTAAAATTCGTTGATCTGTGGAAATAATATGAATAGAGACTTAGTAAATCTGCAATTTACACAAAAGTCTGCTATTAATAAATGGAGAGATTCTATTCATTGCGGCAAGTTTCATGAAATGGTCAAGGTGAGTTCAAATTCAAATCTATCTAACAAATAATATTCAAATTTGTGCTAATATTAGAACCCCAATAAAATGGGATAATAAAATAATTAATTACAAATAAAAATTTTATAAGGGATTAATGTAGCATAATGAACTATATGAAAGATAAATAATCCATAAAATTATGTAGCTAAAAAGCTGTCCTACCATCAGTTGAGACTCATAAAAAGACTATTCTTGTCTGCGGTTGTAGCTGAGGGCAGATAATTGCAAATTCAGGCAAAATTTAGAAAATAATAAAGAATATTCATGAATTAAACTGATAACAAAGAGACGTTGCGAAAAACTGAGGCTTCCACATTCATGAAACAGATAAATGAATGAAATTGCTGATACACATATCTAGCCGGTAAAATTAGCAAAAAAATTTCATTTGAACTATAATTCATTCAATTTTTAAATGTGTGACACCAAGTAGCGATTCAGAGTAAATAAGTATCACTGTGGAAAAACAAAAATAGTGTGGTATTTGTAAGACTGAAGATATCAGTGATTGTTACAAATCTTTTTACCAGATGATTCTTCTTTTAATAGTATTTCACCGTTTCTGTTTGGCTGGTTTCACCAGTTGTTGCTTCTTCTTCAGAGAAAATCACAAGCAATTTCCAGGCGATAACTACCAAAATTTCACTTTTGTGATAGGTGCAAAGAATATGAACATATGACGATTTGATCTCATTCGAAATGCTATGTGCCAAACGACCGTCCCAGCTTTCATCATTAAGCTAAATCACAGAAATGCATAGCATTTGAAAGAATTTAAAAAAAAAACTATGCTAACTTTTCATATCGGCTGATCAGTGTAAGAAAAGAACTGAATGTCTCATTAATATTAAATATACTATTATCTAAGGTGGATGAGTCCAAAAGTGCAAAAGTACAAAAATAAGTAGAGTTTAAGAAATAATTTGATTCTAGGGCAGCTTTTTACTTTTTTCCTAATTTTTGGGAAATTACGAATACTAAAAAAAAAAATTTGTCGCCTAATATATGAATATCAAGAGTGTTCGAGTTCAAAAAGAAAAGATCTTTTGACCGACATTCCACACGACTATTCGCCATAAAAAGGCATTATTATGACCGTTCCTCATTTCTTTCTTCTACAGAAAGAAACTTTATTATTTAACAAATTGTTTTTTGAGCTGATTAATAATAAGAACTTGTAAGCGAGTTTCGCCACCATGCTTTATCAGAACACTACATTCATAATCATAATCAGTCATGATTAGAACACATCATATTTCAAAGGTAATAGCTGTATTTGGATCGGAAGCATTGAGAGTGCAGAGAAAAAATCTCATATCTGCACGACATATGGGCTGATTCAGTGAGAGAATTCATGTGAAATATGTTCAACAAACATCAGTGAATATTTTCTATAAACCGTGTTCCATTATTTGAGAAGAAATGAGAAACACAAATGAATCGAACAAAGTTGGTTATTTTTGTAGCGGGCAGAGATAAGATTTTCAACAACGATTTTTTGTACGTAAAAGTTATTTGATGGTGGTCCTAATTTCTGATGAAAACAATAAAGTTCGAACGCTAAGAAACCGTTCGAGTTGTTTGCTATTTAATTTAAAATGATCAATAAAATGCCAAGAATAAAGAACTATTATAATTTAATTATTCATTAACATGGAAAAAAAGTAATATGGAATTAGTTCAGAAAAATTATTTGATAATAAGAATAAAAAAGGTAAAAAATTTTTAAAAAACTGATACTTTGCAGTTCTACAAAAAGAGTTATCAGGAAAGAATCTAAGGATATTATATTCCGCAAAATATAATTTTCTATATTAGTTATCTTTTATTTTCATTAATAATACCCAGTGAAATATGCAAAACTGAAGCCAAGCCCAACACGTTCTACGTGGTACGCACAATATCTTAAGGAAATGATGCAATGAATTTTAAGGCAAATAGTAATGAAGCCTAGAAGTATGTTGTTCTCAACTAATGATTGCTTGCTTAAATGAGTATTTATTTACATTCAGTCGCACTTCATTAATATTTATGATGTACAGCAGAAATTGCAGCTTTATGTTCAAACAATATAAATGCCTTATAAAAAAAAGCTGGAATTTTTTCGGGTATTCTACTGACTAATCAGATTCAAAATCAAAAAAAAGAGCGAATATTCATTAAATAGAAATCTTTTTAAAAAAAATCTCAAGCGAATCTGTCTAGAGATTTCTTTAAAATTTTCATTGATTTCATCTCTAAATAGTTTCGATCATCTAAGATTCCTTCGCGTTCTCCCTAAAGGGTTCTTTAAAAATTTTCTTTTTGTTCACTGGAAATAACATCGAACTAATGTAATTCTAGCTAATTCAGCACTATTTAATCATATTATTCTCACCATAATTCTTCTTTCGAGTCCATTTTTCCAGCATTTCATATTCAGAATTTAAAGGTAATAATGGTTTTTAGTGTGGCGAAAAACTTTTGGCAAAGAGTCACTTGTGGGTTGATATAGAAGTGGGCCTGCAACACCGTTCAGACTTTTAAATACTAGTGCAGAGTTCAGACTTCGATGTCAAAGGCGATAATCTGCTGTTAGACTTCTCATTTCATACTGCTACAAAAATAAGTACAACTAATGTTCGACCATAAAATGGCTCAGTGGGTTATTGCTAAATTTGGGGCTGAGGTTCGATTCCCCCCGGGAGTAATCCTGCCCAAAAATCCGGGTGATGCTGGTGACTTACCTAAATTTCTATTGCCAAGGAATTCCCTGGCATATTTGTCCAGTGCGACAAACCAGTGGAGCGAGTTTAACCAGAAATGGTGAGGAGTCTTTAAAAAAAAAATTTTCGACCATGGCAGCACCTGCACTTTTTGAAATGGACATTTCTTTCTTTAGAGACAACCAATATTTGCTGGTTATTTTGCTGACTATTAGCAGACTATTTGTAAAGGATTATGTTTTTTAATCTAAAGGTAAAGTGAACAAGTATGCTAAGTGATAATTCAAAAAATTTTTGGGAATTTCCTAAAAATTTATTATCTTCACTAGCTAATCTTTAAAATGATTAGTGCTTAACTGAGGCCATTTCTTGGTGCAACCAAAAATAGCAACAAAATTTTTAAGAAATTCAAAAAGTAGAAAAAGCCATTGGCTCCTCACTAACGCTTCACGCTTTCCTTTTTTTTCCCTCTGAGTTGAATTTTTTTATTATTCGATGAAGGCGAGAAAATTAAGAAAAGGAAAAGTGTGGTAAGAAAAAATCCAAAGAGCATTTTCACTGAAAAAAATCAATTAGACTGGATTTACCAATCTGTTTGAAGCTCATAAAACAGAAATTAATTTTATTAATTATTAAGTTTACGACTTAAAGATCAAATAATAGCGGATACTTTAAGTTGTGATAACCAGTTATGATAATCAAACATGCTAAAACTATACTAAGAAGTCAAGGATCAAAACCAAAACAAAGTTAATGAAACATACTAACTTATACTAAAATCCCTAACGAATAAACCCAACAGTTATGAACTGTCAAGACTTACAATTATCCTAATTCATTCGCCAACCCCAAAAACCTTCTTATCTGCAATAAAAAATACAAAATTAAAAATTAAATTAAATATCTATGATTAAGACCATCTACGACATAATTGATTGATAATGAGCAAAGCAAGGGATGCAACAACTCGAACGAAACTATTAATTATTAGTAATTATCTCCATCTAAATTATATCATGACTGCTGAGAACTAAAAATAAACGACAGTGCGAGTAATAATTTCTCGAGTATTATATAACACCGATGAGCATCGACAATTATCAACAGTTTACAGTTAGTAGTATACCAATGTTATAAACTTGCATATATGAAATAAATTGGAAAAAATAAGAAGTTGACTTTCAGTGAGTTCATCTAATGTGTGATTGCATGAAGTTCAAATAATTTAACCAAACAATAAATCGGTAAATAATGGCAAAAAAAGATAGGCAAGAGGACTTTTAGTTTCCAGCGATGACCATAATGATCAGTCCATTTGATAAATTTGATCAATGATTAACAATCGAAAAAATCTAAGAATATGAAAAAACCAAAACCTTCGTTTTCTCATCTAAGTTCCAGACATTGTTACGTAGGAGGGACAGTACGTAGGACATCAACTGAATTCGTCGACCTTCCAGATGCTTTTTTGAATAAGGTCGATCGAATCGTCTTCATTGCAATTATACCCATTAAATGATATTATCACAAAATATATGAACCATTCAAAAATCCAAGAAAAGGAACTCTGATGCTATCTTTCTAAATAAATTAGCTCTTGTCGTTCGATCAGTTCACTTGATTAGAATTATGTTCATGGAAAAACGTTCGTAGAGCAAAAAAAAATGAAGAACAGAAAGAACCAAAAATTCGTAAGAAAAGATGCTGCGAAAATCAGCATTAATTTATAAATTAATTCGTAATAATGAGCGAAATCTCAAAAAACATCAAAAAAACGGTTAGATTTGTTTCATGAAAAATTTTTAAGGTAAGAAACCATTTAAGTTAACTTTTAGTTAAGAAACTAATTGATTTTACAATTGAAACAACCAGTAATTTTCAGTCAAGATCGCAAAAACGGCTTCATTAAGCCATTCCTGGCAAACCGAAGAATCCATTATGATGCAATAAACCAATAAAACAAACCTTTTCCTTATTCATTATACTAATAACGAGTTAAAGAAGGAACAGTATCAATAAATTTTTATTCTAAGGAGCAATAATGTTTCAGCAATAATGGGGAAAATTGTTCCAATTATCGAAATTTCATGATATCTTGAAACACAGAGTTAAGAATACAGCACTATGGCAATAAATTATTTTTTTAAAATGTTGTATAAAGTTAATTAAAAAGAAGAAACGAAGGCATAATCCCACACTGCAATAAAACATTAATGCGAAAACAAATAGCAAGAAAAATAGATTAAAATGTATTAAGAGAAAAATAAGAAAGTTTAAAAAACAAGACGAAAATGAGTGGGAGCTTTCCTCTCACCAACTAGTTAAACCAATATAATAGTGGGAGGGCAAGTAGACATCGTGGCGCTTAGATGGGAATCGAAGATAAGATTTCATGAAAATGGAACACTGCTGTGAAAAGGAGGCAAGAATTATGCCTAAATTTAATTACTCACCGCTAGAATAACAGTGCAGATTGAACATTTCATGAATCTTGCGTCATAAAAGTTTAATTAGATATGCTCCATAAAAAAGAGAAAAAAGTATAGTCGAATAAAAACAAATCCCATGGAAACGGGAATAAACGGAATAAGAATAAGACAGAATAAAAATTTAATAAAGCTGATAAAAAAACCACTTTTGTAAAAACAATAAATGAAGTAAAATAAATTTTAAAGGAAATATTACTGGATACGTAGGATAAAGACGATCTTTTCAACCACGTGATGAATAAGCGAAAGCACTAAAACTTTGAGTTCAAACTGTCCAAATGTTAGAAAGCAGCTGTAACTTCATTTGATTGATCAATTCTATATTGGTATAATACATCATCTAGCTTTCTTTTTTAGTTGCTGCCACTGATCTTTAGATTGCAACTTGAAATTCCTTGTTTCACAAATCACTCATCAATCATGACACCAAAATTTGATTCAGCAATTTGCTATTATCTACAGTGGATTCAAGTAATTCTCAAATTTAACAAAAAAAAAGATAAAATAAACTGTGAAATCTAATGGTTTTTTCAATATCAATAATAAATTTTCAATGCTTCATATTACAACAGTAGTTGCTAAAAAAATGGGAAAATAATGAAGACAATTTAGCACAGTGGAAATATCGGAAAAATTTATTAAATAATTGGTCGTTAGGCACCGAATAAGATTTGTTTTACTGGAATAAGTTCAACAGGCAACGGAAATGGTAATGATAAGAACAGATCATGCAGTAGCTATTATTTTGAAGACAATGGAAGAAATATGCAAAAAAGAATATGGAAAAGAATAGCAATAGTTATGACCTTAACCATGACCCTATGCCGTTTTACTCAACAAGTGTGGCTAATCAAAACGAATAGGTTTCCGGATGACTATCAGAAATAAATTTAATTCACTTTAGTTAAATTCAAATTTAATTTGTTAATTGTTACTTTCTGGCAATCATAGAACATCATAGAACGACCCGAATAAGCAATTCCGAAAAGAATTTTAAACTTTCTGTGATGATTTATTTTAATATTTTTAATTTCATTATTTCAA